TTTCATCCAACAATTGGCCAACAGAAAGAAGCTTAAGGCCAATAAACCGTAAATATCGGACCAATCATTCAATGAAGGGTCAACATTGGGCCAACCTAACTAACCGATTGCAAATGTTGTTTCTATGTTGGCTGTTAGTTTGCTTACAATAATAACTACGTTGGCCCAACAATATGCCATCTGACATTTCAACAAAGGCCCAACATTGGACCAACCTAACCAACCAGTTGTTAAGGTTGGCTGTTAGTTGGCTTACAATTATACCTACGTTGGCCCAACAATATGCCATCATGTTGGACCAACGTTGGGCCGATGAGCAAAATGACCGTGGGCCAACGTAGGACTACCAACAGTGGGCCAACGTTGGAAAAAAAATTGGGCCAACGTTGGCCCAACAATGTCTTGCTATCTGGGTCTAGAAGATGATAGAGCTAAAGTTGTGCAGGAATGGAACCTTGAAGGTGAAAGTAAAACACTCGTAGAACGTGCACTAGGTGTGCACTGGCTTGTTAACAGTGATCATTTAGGATTCCTGATAAACATTAAAAATCAGCCAACAGCCAGAAGAGGAATTCTATCAATAGTGAGCTCAATATTTGATTCTCATGGTATCGTGTCACCTTTTGTGATGACAGCAAAGACACTTCTTCAAAAAATGAGCAAAAAATCAATTGGATGGGATGAAGAAATTACAGGAAGTCAGCTTAAGGACTGGAAAAATTGGCTGACACAAGCAAAGGAACTTGAAAATGTAACACTTGAAAGATACTACTTCGGGAAGACGATATATCAGGAATTGCACTGTTTTGCAGATGCAAGTGAAATTGGAATAGGAGTTGTTATATATCTACGACTCATCAGTGAGACTGGAAAAATCCACTGTTCCTTTGTTCTTTGAAAGTCAAGAGTGGCACCATTAAAAACAGTGACGATACCGAGGCTCTAGTTGACAGCATCAACTTTAGCAGTGAAATTATGCAAGATAGTTACAAAACAGTTGGAATATTAAGTTGATCAAGTTTACTTCTGGCCAGATAGCATGTCAGTTCTTCGTTACATAAATAACACAAAAACTCGTTTTCAAACATTTGTTGCCAATAGGCTTGCCATAATTCATGCAGCAACTACAGTCAACCAGTGGCACTACGTCAACTCTAAAGATAATCCAGCAGACTGTGCGTCAAGGGGAATACCGGTAGTAAGTAGATTTCTTGACTCAGCAGCATGGTTCAGTAGTCCTGAGTGGCTATGGAAACAAGATGTTTCATGGCCGTCTACTTAAATCATTAGTGACACGTTAGAAATTGACAGTGCTGAAATAAAAGACATCGTCAACACAGCAGTTGAAACAGAAACAGTGGAAGGAATAGAAAAATTGCTCCAGCACTTCTCTTCCTGGAAAAAGCTGAAATCAGTGACTGGATGGCTGCTCTTAGCACGAGAAAACCTCAAAAGAATAATTGAGAGGAAAAGAGAACGAAGATCAAGAATGATATCAGAGGGATTTACAGAAGAGAAAAAACAAGAATTGGAAATGAAGGATAAGCAAAGCAGATTGAAAAATGTTACATGTACACGAAGACCTTCATTAAATGTAGACATTCTTGACAGAGCAGAAACAGTCATTTTGAAGTATGTGCAGATGAAGCATTTTGCCCAAGAATTTAAAGACTTGAATTCAAGTGAAAAGGTTATCAAGATAAGCCAAGTTAGACCCAATTGTTCACAATGGAGTTCTACGTGTAGGCGGTAGACTTAGGTTAATGGATACAACTCTTAAAAGTAAACATCAAATTATTATTCCCAAAGAGTCTGTATTAGCCAGGTTGATAGCAGAGGAAGCACATAAATCTGTCGGACACTTACGAAAAAATTCAACGCTGGCACTTATCCGTGAGAAATATTGGATTCTTGGTGTGTCATCAATTTTGAAGTCCATCATTTCCAGATATGTTATATGCAGAGGATATCAGGCACCTACTTTGAAACAGAAAATGGCAGACATTCCCGGCGAGAGACTGAAACCTGATGACCCCCGTTTTACTCGAGTTGGAATGGATTATTTTGGTCCATTTGAGCTTAAAAAAGGAAGAAGCATAGCAAAACGGTACGGTGTCATATTTACTTGTCTATCTTCCCGAGCAGTATATTTAGAGGTTGCCTTCTCCTTGAATACAGACTCCTGTATTGACGCCATTCAAAAGTTTATTGCACGACGAGGAAAACCAACTTATATAGTGTCTGATAATGGAACAAATCTGGTAGGTGCAGAACGTGAGCTAAGAACAGCACTTCATTCCTGGAATACGAACAGCATTTCGAGTCAATTATTACAGTCAGGAATTGAATGGAGCTGTAATCCCCCGGCTGCGTCTCACTTTGAAGGAGTATGGGAACGCCTCATCAGGATAGTCAGGAAAATCATGTATTCTGTTCTACAAAAACAAACAATTCATTTGGATGATGAGGGACTATTAACCTTGTTTTGTGAAATTGAAGCTATTATGAATGGACGACCCCTTACAGAAGCTTCAGATGATCCGAATGACCTTTGTGCACTTACACCAAATCATATACTACTCATGAGATCAGGAGAGAGCTTTCCCCCTGGAATTTTCCATACACCTGACAACTACGCAAAACGTCGATGGAAGCAGATTCAGTATTTGGCTGATGTTTTCTGGACACGTTGGATCAGAGAATATGTACCCCTTCTCCAACAGAGACAGAAGTGGCTTAAAATGGTAAGGAATTTACAAGAGGGTGATTTAGTTCTCATCGTGGAAAACACTCCAAGAAACGCGCGGAATCTCGGTAGAGTGCTCGAAGTGATAAAGGACTACTATGATGTTGTGCGTGTTGCAAGGATAAAGACAGTGTCTTCCATTATTACGCGGCCAGTGATAAAACTTTGTCTTCTTTTGGAAACAGACTGTGAAAAAGAGAAAACAAATCAGTGAACCTTTGTGTAATGAAACGTTTAGTGAATGAACTCATTTTGGATACATCGTTTTGTCCATTTTTTGATAAAGTGAGAAATATGTTTTTGTAAAAACACATTTAGGGGTCGGTGTAATGGACAATCTGTATATCTTATTCTAAATTTTCCAATTTTGTCCGTAAGTTTCGATTTCTGTCCATTCCAATTTTATCAGAATTATACGTTTATCAAATGTTGAGAAATGCACGAGCGCCATATTCAGATCAGTGAGTGCAGTAGTTTGTTGTCTTCTAGCTGAAAGTACCAGACATACATCACGGTAATTATATATTAATTATTTATTATATACTGCCTGTTATGTGCATTTACTTGTTACATTGAATTTGAATAGGATTTCGTTATATTACCGCTGTTTACAAAGTTTAATATAAGGAGCACTTTTTGTGCCATGATTTATATTGATAAAAAGTTGCATTATATGCACATTCTGTATTGAGTACAAGTATTTATTTATATTTACATTTCATTTGTAGTCAATCTATGTCATGCTATGTCAGAGAGAAGGACTTTGTTATACAATGCCAGAATGTGTCCATGTTAATAAAGACATTAAATTGAACCTGTGTCGTTGGTACAAGAGAACACTACATAGCCCCACCCTAATATCAGGGGCCAAGATTTTCACAATTTTGGAAGAAGCCCTCTTGCACATCATAACAATTCACTTTGTATGTTTCCTTAATAATAATGGGCAGAGAAGAAAATTTTCAAAGAAATAATGCATTTCTTCTATATATCCAAAAGAGCTTCACCCTAACACCAAAACCCCTGAACCCAGGGTTATGAATTTCAAACTTTTTGAAAATACATCCTTGCTTATCATAACTGTGCAATTAGTTTTTCTGTTAAATACCCAGGGGCATAGAAGATGATTTTCAAAAAAATGCATTTCCAGAATGTATTCAATACCCCCCGCCCCCACATGAACCCCTGGATCTGGGGCCACAAGTTTCAAAATTTTGGAAGAAGCATCCTTGGTCGTCATAACCATGCACCTAGTTTATTTGCTAAATACATAGGAGCAGAAAAGAGGATTTTCAAAGAATTAATGCAATTTCACTATGTAATCAATAGAGCCCAATCCTAGCACCAGAACCCCTGATCCAGGGACCAAGATATTCACAATTTCGGAAGAGGCGCCCTTGCTCATCATAACTATATATTTGGTTCATCTGCTAAATACCCAGGGGGAGAGAAGATTTCAAAGAAATAAAGCACTTTCACTTTTTGATCAATAGTGCCCCAACCCCCTCCCACAGAACCCATCACCCTGGGGCTACAAATTTCACAATTTTGGAAGAGGCACCCTTGATCATCATAACCATGCACCTAGTTTATCTGCTTTATATACAGGGGGAAAAAAGAAATTTTTTTAAAGAATATAAGCATTTTCACTCTATGATCAATAGAGCCCAACCTTAACTCCAGAACCCCTGACCCTGGGGCCATGAATTTCACAATTTTAGTAGAGGGTTCAGTGCTTATTACAATCATGCCCCATCCTTAAGACCCTAGGGGTGCAGGGACCACAAAATTCATGCAGTAATTTTTGTTCCCCTTCACTCATAGATGTTCTATGCCAGAATGGATTGAAATTGGTTCAGCGGTTGCAGAGAAGAAGCTGAAAATATTCAAATGTTAAGCACGATGCACAACGCACGATGCACGACGACGGAGGAAAACGGATATCAATAGGTCACCTGAGTGACTCAGGTTACCTAAAAGTAAGTAAGAATGGTATACCTTTGTCAAATAGTTATGATTAGATGTACTTGTCTTAACGAATATTAATGTTGTTTTATTTTAGTTTGATTAATTGCAAGAAAAAAAATTCTGTAATCTTATCAGAAATGTTTTGCCTAAGTATCCTATGATCTTTATATATGGTCTTTATCCTTATGAGTCTTGTTTAATTACATTGAGGAAGTGACACATCTACCTCGGCTAAGAACTCACGTGTTGATCCCTTAATAAACAATACATATCTTTTTGTGATTACCTGCAGTGAACAATTATTGGATGTTGTGTTGATCTGACCTTGTGTCGAAAGTGCCGGTGGAAGACAACCAGGTTCAGTGGATTTGGAGTCCCGTGATCTGGCCATTGGGTGTAATGATACTGTACGACCGTCCTTGACCCAGTAACCTAATTATAGATAAATCGTAATCAAATTACTGCTTTATGCTAAGATTTACACCTTGTTGTCTCTTTAATTTCGCTTTGTTTAGTTTATTTTTATTTTTCTCTAGTCTTAAATTAATACGAAATAATTTACCTTTTGAAAATTACAACATTATATATTTCTTTATACTGTTGAATACATATTTTTTCGTGGTTTGAGAAAAAAAATTATTGGTTCATGGGGATTTGATTTCGAGGTTGAAGAAGTGTTCGAGTTGTTATATTATGGAATTTTATATTTCATGACGTCCATGAATTCACGGACCTCCTTATTCCACGGAATCAACGAATCCCCCCCCCCCCAAAAAAAAAAGAAATTTGGTGATATCACAGACCTTCTTGTTGCGCAGTGTCAATCTTCTTTCGACGAAGTAAGCATACTGTTTCTCTTCAATCAATGTTACGGAAAATGGATTGATATCCAGCTCTGTTTCTTTGTCTGGCCAGTATTCATGACATTTCACCTAATTTATGCAACTAAAACTTAATATCCATATTAAGTAATCATTATTTAATAGAGAGGTAAATATATTTTTCTCTTATAAGTTCATCATAATATCCAGAGATTGATATTGACGGTTTGTATATTTCATCAACTTGATAATGGTTAATGATGTAACTAGAATTAATTTCAAATAGCATTCAAATAAATTTAAAAATCTTTAGAGACCTAAGAACTAAGGACCAAAAGGCTCTTTTCATATAGTTGAAAAAGCCATTCTTTGAAATAAAGTTATAAAGATTCCCCGATACAATTTCTTGTAAAATTTATATTCCCTATCGTCAATGACTGTTGTCATGCTGTTTTCAGAGAAAAAATGTATTTAAAAAGATTTTTTTCATCTCCAACAGGCAAGATCGAAAAAAGAAAGCTTATTAATAGGGATGGTGACATATATGTATCATACATGACTTTTTTAAAGTCATTTTATTCTTAAAAACATAAATTGTTTTTTTTTTCCATGCATAATTCTGTCAAACCCTCTTTTGTTATCCTCAGTCAAATTTGAGCAAACCTGAATATGCATTAGACGAGGATTATGTTTCATCAAAATGTTAATTATAGTCCTTTTGTTCTTGAATGCAATATTTCAATCTTTTCCTTTATTTCTTTTATCTATTTATGGTCGACAGGTGTCTCAACGCAAGCCCCGTCTCATTATTAGAAAACATCGAATCTGCTCTAAATTAGAAAGTTTTCACGTGAATGTTGCTTGTATCTTTTTACTGTTCTTTAATAAGGAAGCTAAAATAGTCAAACAACAATTCTTTAATAAGGAAGCTAAAATAGTCTACCACAATTTTGAATGTTTAGTAGATATTTCCCTGAAAAAAAGTGCTACTATTTATTTCAACAGGTCAATTTACGCTATTCGAGGGTGATTTTGTGGATAGTATTGGCTTAGTCGTTCGATCAGTTGGACAGTTGAAACCGCGAATAGTAAACAGACAGGCAGACAGACGAACTGACAACTTACAGACTTCATTCTAAAAAAAAAATAACATTGAGCGTTTGGTACAAGCGAACTTACGTTAATTGACTTCTTAGACATTTTTGTCAGTGAAATGCTTCACATTCATTCCATGTATCCAGTACTTATACAGAGTGTTTTAATTTCCATTAAGAATATATAAGGCAAACCAGAAAATTTATCTTTTATCAAACCTTTGGACCCTCAATAAGATTGGTCAGCATTACAATGTATTCTACATGTTCCTGCCATATCATTCTCCAGTGGTCAACTAAAGTGTTTTTAAGTGGGCCTATAAGAAAAGAAAAAAAATGTTTAGTTTTATAACTTTAATATATTAGATTCTCTTAAACCATTTACTATCAGTTAATGTAAATAAAATCAAGATACCTTGACATGCAATGAATTCCCGTTTCCCTTCCATATTCTAAACATAAAAAGTGGTTGTAGAAGTTTAACATTACTATACTGGATGACATCAAGTATTATGTATTATCTCAATAAAAATGCTAACAAGTTCTGTAAATTACCTCAATGTAGTTTGCATTAATGTAGTCGGAAATAAAGCCCTGACTAGCTTCTAAAATAACGCGGGAATGATCATCTACGAGAAAGAAAACATATCGATTTAATAAGATACAAAATGATGATGAAGTGTAGTTATAATACATTATAAAATGATTCTGAAAGACTTTAAATTCTAAGAACTTTAATTTCTAAATAAGTTTCCCTCTGTCATATGAACTTTACACCAACAAATAGAAACTGGAAGGTTATTTTTCATTATCAGATTTTAGAGTTTTCAATTAATTTTTAATAACATTTACGTTTTAAGATTACTTAATATATAAAATTAACTTTAAAACAAAGTGATATGATGTTATTTTCTTACATGGAAAGGTGGTTTTGAATCTGTTTTTAGGCATGTTTTCCTCTGTTTTGGCGATGTCGCAGTCAAATCTCTCTCCATATGGAAGAGACTAAAAATAGATATTTTTGGCAATCGAAGAAAGGTACGGTATGTACATTTTTGTAGGAAATTCGATAGCATGAATATACTTTCATAATATCAAAGTTTCGACTTTACTTTTTCTAAGGAATGCACTACTATTACGGATGGTAAGGAGTGTGATCATTACTTTAGCCGTAAATATTTCGAAAAAAGCAACAGAAAAATATATTTATATATTTACATGTATATACTTTTCATTGATAAAGCACTGCAATGCAAAACTTGATATGTAAAGACATTGTAACAGAATTTTTGCAGTTTCCTTTACCCGAAATTTACGTATTTGTGGTAAATCATTAGTTACCTTGAATTCCTTAAGGAATCCTTCATTTTCCTTGGCTTCTTTATGTGTTATAATAATAAATAGGTTCGATACAGCAATATCTTTAGCCACAGACAGATCATTATAATACACAGCCTCTTCAGGGTTTTCTGTCTGCGGCTCTTCCTCGGGATCCTCAATCGGAACAGAAACATTCCGTATGGTAGAGTAATACTTGTTTTCTGCTATTATTAATTAAGAAAAACTAAATTGAAAATGCAACAAGGTGTACAAACATAAAATACTTAGTTGATTTTTAATGTATTTAAATCCTTGTAAGCTCTTCAATAAAAAAAAGAGATTTGCAGTTTAAATTGCGAATAAATATTTACCCAAAGATGGAGCACTCTTCTTTCGAAAAATGACTGCATCTGCTTTAGGATTTGAATTTTGACGTCGTTTTTGCCTACGGAATAATTCAAGAATCTCCCGATTGATAATGATATGAAAACTTTAAAACAAGACAATCGATAGTAATGTTTCAGACAGATTAAAACAACATTGATTCCTCCTCCCCCTTCTTAAAATGCTTGAAAAGAAACGTAACGTATTGATTTAGACACACCTGAGAAAAATGACGACAACGATTATTATAACCAATAGAAATAATCCAGCTCCTAGTCCGACACCAATAGCTGTAGTTGGCAGAGAAGTCCAGTCACTTACAAGGAGAGCTGAGGAGGAATTTAACGAGAATTTGTTTACTATTTAAAGATTATAGTCAACTTTCATTTATTCCCATGAAAGAAAAAAACCCACATAGAATACAGTGACCGCAACGTTTTTTATTGACGAAATAGTCGCCAAGAATCGTTCCTGTAACGTGCGTGATCCTTCATGAAAAGTGCGACATCGTGCAAGTATTGGGTTAATCGTTTGCGGTATTAATCGTAGGTGATCGTAAAGCATGAACCCTGTACATTTCGTTCTGTTACTTGTTATCAAAATGTCAATTGTAAAAAAAAAAAAATCTTCTTTGTTTACGAAATTATATTTTCAAATATATGTATAGGCACAATCATTTCGTTGAATATACTTCTTTACATAATCAAATGTTGCTTTATGTATGAGGACAGCAATACTATTGAATGGGAATCTTGAGATTTTTTGGATTTTGTTTAAAAAATACAGCCTATGCCTATTTAAGCGTTAATGTATAATACAAATATCTCAACACCACCCCCTCCTTTTAATAATAATTCATTCAATTTTCCTTTTTGGCAACGCAAATAAAATTAATAGATGGATTATTTTTATGTTCAATATGTTTACATCAATCAAAGAACAAAATGGTGCTAAATATATTTTCTTTATAGATTTTTTAATCACAAATAAAGTAACTCTATTATTCATGTGAATGAATTTGATTTTGCACTTAGAAAGTCCTTACAAACATAAGAAGTATAATCATTATGCAGTTTATTTAAAATCTCACAGGTTTAAGTAAAGTTTATGTTACAATGCTTTTTTTTTCGTTTTATTGAAATATCATTAGTTCTCTTTGAATGTTAATGTCTGAGATTACATGAGGCGTGAAAATGCATCTAGATTGAACATGCAGTGATTCAAAGCAGCTAGTAGATGATCGTTAAAATAATATTCGAGAATGCACAAAGATTTTACTTTTATTTTGATTTATACTTCCCTGAGATAAAACGTCTTCACAAACAAATATGTATGTGACCACAAAAGAAGCGCAAATGGAAATAGACTGACATTTTCTATGTTTGAAAACATACTCGATCTAACAATCTATTTTAACATTTCTGTTTTTCTGTTTGGGGTGAAGATATCTTCACAAGCTAAGCGCTAAACTGTCTGTTTCCAAATTGTCAAACACTTGTTATATACTTGCAGTTTTAAATCAAAGTACTTAAACGGCTCGCTAAATAATAATCCAATCAATAAATAAGGGTGACAACATTTATAAATTCATATAGAATAAATTCTAACATAAAAATAAAATAGCTTTGGGGGATCTATTCAAGATTTACCCAATACAATTGTAAAAAAAGATGAAATAGTATTTGAAAGCATTAGATACCTATATAGGTGTGTGAGTTTTTACTTTCTGATCTATAAAATGCTGGAGCTAACGCCTCATTTCATAGTCTTAGGAATTCATCATTTTAGCCATTTATCGTGCTTGTTCTATTTTAAACGAAAAACAAGTTTTATCTAATTTGAAGAATGTAGTCTATACATTAAGTTTATATTCAAAACTTTAAATTGTCTTAATAATATACTGCTTCAAATGTTGAATTTATTTACAACTCTTAAATTAAAAACAGAGGTAAATATGTTGCAAAAGGTATATTTGTAGCAAAAGGTACTGTGTCCATAACTAATAAACTGCCTGTCTTACCCATTGTGCATTGTTCATCCACGAAGTATCCTTTGCATCCCCCAATACACGACCCATTGTTTGGGAGACAAGTTCCATTTATACAATATGAGCTGCATTGCTGATCACATTCTTGACCATAATAATCTGGTTTACATACTGTAAAAAATAAAAAAAAAATATATACAAAATATGACAGATAGGCCGTAGTTTGAAATAGATTTTAAATTGTCTCTTAACAACTGGCAAAGTTAAAGCGATTGTTTATAATTCTAAAAAGAGTCTACGATTCAAAATATTTTTATCAAAAAAATTTGAATAGCATGATAGGATTAACACCTGTTTAATTAATGAAATGGTAAGTTAAATGTACATTTAGAAGCAGTTGAATTATCATCTTTTAACGGATTCTCTGTTGTTGTTTTTTTGTTTTTGTTTTTTTTTTTTGAAAAAAAAGGAAGCTCGTATTACGTAATTTCTTTGGCTTTACCATCACAGTTTTGGTTCTGCCATCCTGTTTTACATGAACAACTCCCATCGACCTGATGACAACCGGAAATACACCCACCACCACATGTCTGGAGACAGTCAGCTCCAAATTTTCCGACAATACATCCAGAATGACATAAGCCCTTGGTTTTACTGCATCCACTTTTACAATATTGGTTGCATGATCTATCACAAGTACTCCCGTATTTCCCAACCGGACATTCTCCCTTACATTCCCCTGAGTATCTGCTGCAGGCTGATGGACATGATTGACTGCAAGCCCTTTCACACTTTTCTAAAAAGAATCCCATATTACATCCAAAAATGCAGAATCCAGTAATATTGTTACACGTCCGTCCTTTACAATTCGGACTACATGCCTGGGAGCAATAACGTCCATAATGACCGGAATCACACCCTGCAAAACATTTAAAACTCGTACATCGTAATGCCATAGGCATTAATAATGTTATCTGGAAGTGTAAGACAAGTTACCGTATGATACAATTATTAACGACATAAAATGTTAAAAGTTGAACATCATAACATCATAATGAAAACAATAAGTTCTTAGGCAAGGTTTTCAGTATTTATGCAATTACAGCAATACAAAAAGGCACTATTTAATATTCCTCTTTGAGATGTATTATGACACATTTGCACTTAAGGCGAAAGTTTAAGTAAACTTTTTTCTCTTTTCTTTGTATTCCAATAATTCAGTTTTTGTGCAGATGATTTAGTACACAATGTGTGAGGGGGGGTGGGGTGCAAATTCTAGAAACTTACGGTCGCATTTATCTCCAGTCCAGTTCGGTGTACATCCACCAATACAACCTCCATTTTGTCGACATTTCCTTTCGGCACAATTTTCACTACATGACTTTTTGCATAAAGGACCATAAAAACCGTTGTCGCAACCATTACTACAATGACCATCTATTTGTCTGCATTCCTGATTTTGGCAAGTGTTACTACATATTCCATTGCATTGTGCTCCATAAAAGCCCACACTACAGGCCTTGCAATTTCCAGTATTTCTATCACATATTCCTGAGCTGCAATTACCACAGCGCATTCCACAGTAATTTCCATAAAGCCCAGGGTTGCATCCATTTAAACAGAATCCATTTGTTTTGTTACATTTTCGACCAGAACATTTATCCTTCCAACGACAATCCTTTTCACATCTATCCCCAAAGTACCCGTCAATACAAGAAAAGCAGAATCCGTTACTTCTATTACAGACTCTACTGGAGCACCCTGATGGACAGCTGTACTGACATTTATTTCCCCTGTATCCCTGAACACATCCTTGGGTGCAGTCTCCATATCTATTGCATTCCCTGCCTACACAGTTAGAGCTGCATCTGGCTAGATAAAAAAAAAAAAAAAAAAAAAAAACAAATCTCAAATAATTACTGATTTAGTTCTATTGTAATACTGACAATTGCTTTTGTATGCTTCTCATTTTGTCTAAAGAACAGCAACCTATAGTAACCTATAGTAAGGCACAGAACGTGAAAGATTTAATTAACCTTCAGGTACATGTGGTATAAAACGATAGGCCCTTTTTTCAAATTCATTTTTAAGAACTTATTTTAAGTTACAACATCTTCATGTGAACACAATATAAGTTACGTGTAAATAAAGATACTCACTGGCAAATTCACTTGTACATATTATATGAAAGAGTAAAAAAAAATGACAAAAAAGAGAATAATTCATATGAACAAAGGTTAAAAAATAGTTGTTTACTTTAGCTACGCCTAAAATCCTGAATTTATGTTTGTCATTTAAAAGCCTTTTAAAGTAAAGAAATATGCAAATGTTAATATAGTTCATTTTATTACCTTCCTAACTTCTTTCATAGTTATGACAGTAAATGTGTATTTAAAAAATATATATATAAAATAAAAGCAGTGTCTCAACGTATCCTGCAGCAAATGAATAAAAGAGAGGAGGAAGGTTGGAAAATTTAATATCGTTACGCACCCTTTAATTGTACTGACATTTCTAAAAATACGTTTGAAAACTTGAGGTGGATTTACACAAATTCAAACATCAGTTTCAAACATCATTTTGATGTGTAATGAAATACAAAATAATTCATAAATGCTTGATAATTGTTAAAATGTTTATTCACTCATAAAATTCAATGACAATTACTGGGGACTGGGATGTAATTTAGTATTTTTAAAATCAAAATTAGCACTGGAATAAAATTCCAACCTTTTTTTGCATTAACACAAATATGTATTTTTAATGTTGCAAATCGTATTTTGATAAAATCGCTAAAATATAATAATTGATTGCAAAAAAATACTCTATGAAAGAATTTGTTTAAGAATTGTAGCATTTTAAAGCATGCATTTTTATTGTAGTTCAAAACACTAGTTCAATGTATTTCTAATTTATCAGTCAGTTACTTTGACCCCTGGGAGCTCAAGACTGGAAATACTGTTCAGGTGTTTAGCTGTCTTAAAAAAAATGTTTAGGTGTTGTTTATTACTGCTATCCGATATATATATATATATATATATATATATATATATATATATATATATATATATATATATATATATATATATATATATATTATGATTACACAGTCTATTGTGCCTAACGTTAATTAATATAACATTAAATCTTATACATGAATTTAACGTTATTTTTTTTTATCCATAATTGATAATGTTCGAAACATACAGCTTTTCCGTATAGTGTAATTTTATGCATATTCCGATAGCATAACGTCCCTCCATTAGTGTGATTTAAGTTTCTTCAACCACCTGAGACCTCCATATTATACATATTAAAGCATAACACAGAAACAAAGGGTATGTCGCACTCTGCCACACTTGTGACTTTATTAATTAACCCAAATTAAGATAACGTATAGTGATGTAGATCACGATAAACGGTAATGTTACAATAACACTATAAAAATTGATTGATTGTTTGTATGTTGTTTTACCTCCCGTTCGAGAATTTTTCATTCATATAGAGACGTCATCATATACGGGTGAAGGGCTTCAAACTTAGACCTTTACTCGGCATTCTGGGCCAATAAAAATTGATATACAAGTATGGATATCCGATTATTTACCCCATTTACATTTTTTAACATAATTAACCAATAATTCCCATTAATAATCCAAGTACTTGTAAGATGTAATTGAGTACATAACTTCTGCAACACATAGTCCTTGTTGTCTGAAACAGCCATGTACTTGATAAGAATTCTAGTCAATTGGGTACCTGGAATATTCGGCAACTGGTGAATTCGGCATCAAGTAAAGTGAATTCGGCACCTGGTATAATCGGCACCCATTAAACTCAGCAACTGGTACATGTACATTCGACATATAGTGAATTCGGCACCCGTTCATGAATAATTAAAAATATTGTAAATAGATAATTAAAAACATGATTCAGATGTTTCTTCATCAATCAGTTTCTTTTGTTCTTTTTCTCTATTGTAGAAAAAAAATCCACGTTGCTACCCTTTTGCATTGTCACCAAAAATGTGTCCATTTGCTGACCGGGTGTTTCAAGTGACTGGAAGCAATGCTGACTGTCAAGATAGCAGTCTTTAATACCATTAGATAAACAGTTTTATGTTAGACCTGTGCACATGGGTGTTGTTTGTCACTTTAAGCTAAAAACCAATCTTGACTTGAAGGGGATGTCCGAAAATGAGAATAACAGCTCCCTATATTAGGGGTACACAAAGAGAAAACTAGAAAGATGACATATTCAAAACTAATACGTCCTGAAAATTTTGCACGGATTGATTAGCAGTTTTCTTAAGAGTTTATTCAATATAACTTCTGTATTTTAGTACAGAATATTCCACAATTACGTTGAAACAAAAATCAGTGTATCTGGTGATCATCTGCATGAATACTGTATTCAAATAATGTAATACAATCATACAGTTCTGTTACAGGTTGCTCACACCCAATATGCTCTAGTTATTTAATTATTATAACAATTATGATCAATCTTTATACGAATACAGGGTTCTCCATCGTTTCAAATTTAACTGTGGCGCAAGACTTACGCGAAGTATTAATATTCGCTGTCATTTTACGACCGAATTCGCGAAGGAACCACGAAATAAATGAAAAACACACAGCCCCATTAAATCAAAAGTTTAATACACAAATAACATTTATTGTTTGGCAAATTGATTAATAAGTTTGATAATAAAAGCAATTAATCGATATCAATTTAACATAGTGTAAAACAAAAATTAGGATGTTTCCAAAATATACGCATCCTGTGAAAAAGTAACCCCCCCCCCAAAAAAAAAAAAAAAAAACAACCCACAAACTTAATTTCAAATTAACAAATATTAGCTTATAGGATCTGAAAATAAAGGCACCAGTAACATCACGTTTTGAGCATTAAACCTTTTTCTTAAAAAAATAATGAATTTGTTTACAAAAGGCAAATTATACAATATTCATTAAAAGACAGAGAAAATTCTGGTAAGACACACAATCACGCTAACATTTACATGCATATATATTTGTAGTTATCGCTGTGAAGACTGAAATACCTTAAAACTTGTGAATTTAAAAATACTTAAACAGTTAAGAGTCATAAAATAATATTTTGGTGGATCTGTCGTTAATTTTTCAACATTACAAAATATACATGATTGCGATACACGTACGATGTTTGACTCGCAGTGCCAATGCAAGTTTAGAGACTTGGTTATCTGAAGAACTATAAAAGCATCAATTAATATTAAAAAAAAAAAAAAAAAAAAAAAAAAAAAAAAAAAACATCATTTGCAATCATCGTGAAGTGTGAAAAAATGGCTTCTTTTCATTCAAGTGTCCAGCGAGGTTTAGAAGATAATTGCTTGTGCAAGCCAAACATTGGGCCCTAATTAGAGTAAATTAACGGTTTAGCATTAGAAACTGAAAAATGGTACATAATTTAGAGGTTCATTTTGTTTATAAATTTATATATTTCTCTTACTGACGACGACGATCTTACTGTGGCGCTAATATTTTAACTGTGGCGGAACTATGGCGCTGATTTTTTTAACTGTGGCGCAAAGAAATTTAACTGTGGCGGGGCCGCCACGTTAAACGGCCCATGGAGAACCCTGCGAATACCAATGACTGTGTTCGCAATCATCTTCAATGTGTTGAAGTTCAAGTTATCCTCAATAGTATACTGGGACAGTGCTACATGTAAGACAAATGAGCGTCAACCTTCCAAGGTAATAAACTCAATGAAAAGCATACCTTCTTATTGTGTGATTCACAAGTAGCTGTTAACAACATTCTCTTTGTTTGTAAGGCTAATTATTTAAATTGTATTTTAGAGGAATTGGGATTTAATTCTGCAAGTGGTAATTCAACTTATACCCAAAGCTCACTTTCTAAGGAGGAAATTCTTCAAAATCATATCGCAGCGCTGTTAAGGCATATTATGAAGAACACAACGGAATATAGAAGTGCACAAATACACACCTTTTAAAACTGAATTTGTTTTTGTAAAGCTATTATTTTATCACATGAATGTACACCATTCTGTAGAGAATTTAGCTTGGTCACCTTATTTGACAGTCAAATGATAAATGCATATAATGTGTACTGCGTGGAGGTCGTAGACAAATTTGAATATCGCAAGGGCATACCCTCATTAAAAGTAAAATTTTAATTCATAAATTATTTCTACACATTTTGTGCTTTCTGCGAAGTTCTGCTGCTTTAACTAGAATTCGCATTTTACTAGTTTAAATTTCAAGTAAATGGACTCCATCTGAAAAATGCGTGACCTTTACCTAGTATTTTAAATGTTTATTAAGTAACGTTCTGATTTCACGAAAGGAGCAGCACTTTTCAAGTTAAGGAGCATTTCTTATATCCATATTTTAAAAATGGCAAATATCTATTAAGTGTATGTCTAGGGCGATTTATAGAGGCACCTCGATGTTAAATGTGCCATTCCTTTGTACAAAACACGGGAAAATACATTAGATACACTTCCCGATGAAAAAAAAAAAAATAATGGCATTTAATTAATCTTACACATAGCAACTAATTGACTATTAAATGTCTGTAGATAATATTCTATTTAATAATAAAATGCATTTCTCACTGTACAAAAATAATTTTATCCACCATTCACTGCACATAAAATGCGTCACATTTTACCATGATGACGTCATGTCGACAAGTGCATTGCAATCAGTTACTTGTTCATATTTTGTTGTGTGGGATTTAACTAGCGACAAAAATAAAGACAGTGGTAAGTTTCAATGTAGTCTAATACTATTATACAGTTTAAACTCGCAAATTATTTCATTTTATGATATTATGAAGAAATGATATTAATGCGTGATGTCA